GATGAGTTTACTTATCCAATGAGATCATGTGCTTTGACGCCTCTCAATTGGCTGCTCTGGGGCTACAACCTGTCCTCAGTTCACACTAACAAACCAAACACTTTGGAATGCCTCGAGGACAACACTCGAGAAGTTGTTGACGAGACATAACATAATACATATGTAACAGGCTTACCCAAAATTGCAGTTTAAGTTGGAAGTAGTGTTGGGAAATCGGCAAAGTACATGTGGGGCTTATATATATATAATTTATTTATACATATATGTATTTATATGAGTAAATAGATGATATATAATGTGATGTATATATCTGGTGTATTCCTTCATAAAAAGGTATACGATTACAGTTATGAAGAGGAAAACTCTAAATTAGTCTGCTAAATACATAAAGTAAATATTTTTTATTTAAGTTAATATAATTTTATTTAAAATTTATTTACATTGAATTTAATCTTCATTTTATATATTTGTATTAATTTTTCTTTTTTTGTTAAGTTTTTATGATATGAACTGCAGTTTCGAAAAGTATGATTTGAAAATTGTAATGCCAAAATAAAATATATAATATATGTACTTATATATATGTATGTATATAGATTCCGTCCGCTTTTATGAGATTTTATGTACTATATGCTTAAAAAGTTAAGCAACTTGCCCCCACTCCACCCTTTCCCTCTCTCTTTCTCTCTCTCTCTTCTCATCACTGTTGCTAATTTGATGATTAAAACAATTTTGCTCTCATCATTTTGTAAATTAGAAAACATAAAATGCTAGCATAATTTGCTGGGCCACCGTAAACATTCGCTCCAGCCCTAAATGCAATTTAAATATGGTCACATAATCGTTAAAGTCAGCTGCCTTTCAGAAATTCTGTGACAATTATAAACCAGAGCAATAATGTGGCCATCAAAGTCTGCAACCCTCTGCTGTGCCGAGCTGTGGCTGAGGCAATATTCATAAATTTTAAAGCAGAACAAAAAATAAAACAAAACAAAACAGAAAAGGGGGAAAAAAAGGGACACGCCTCAAATTTTCGGAAAATGTAATAAAACATCAAATTACCAATAATTTGGAGGACTAGGCAGGGCGAGAACTGTTGAATCCTTTTTTCACTCACCCAGTTGAGTTGACCGTGATGCGGGCGGATCGTGGGAGGCGAGGGAGGCGGCCTTCAAGACTCGTTTAGGTTGGACAGCAACACGTGCCGCTTTCTGATTGCGGATACTTTTCGTCGGCCCGTCGGCATTTTATAGCGCCAATGAGGCATCCACTTTGGTCAACCCCAAACGCCAACCCGAATCCCTAACCGAAACCCAATCTCAATTCTAAATCTATCCCTAACAACGAGTTCAATGTATTTTGCTGGTCATTGGCGGCAGTCAAAGGATTAGGGCATGTAAACTGCTCAATAGAGTGTTTACTGAATGTGCGAGTGTGTGTGTGTTTGCCTTCCTTAATGTGTGGGCGTGGCAGCGAGCCATACAACTTGTTACTGTGCGCACATTACCATAATGTATTTTATCTGGCTGCTGACTTGTGCGGCCCCTCAGTTAGAAATCACTTAAGACGCTCAGCTGCTGCTCCTGCCGTTCCTGCTGCTGCTGCTGCTGCTGCTATGGCTGCCCCTACTCCTGCCAGCATAATAATGCCCATTGCCCATTCTTTTGGTATTAGTTCGTTTCAAGTTACCCACAGTTCGGTTGACTGACTGTCTGGCTGGCATGCCTGAGCTGAGCTGGACAGCTAGCACAGGTCAGGTCGATGCTCGGTCTTCTTCTTCGACCGGTTAGCAACCGGCATTTGGTTTTACATGCTCGTTCTCATCATTCCTTGTGCCCTTTGTGTGTGTCTGTCTGTGCATTTGTTTCGACTTGCGTGAAATTGCAAAATCAATCAATTCGATTACGTATACGTAATATTTATAAATATTTAATGTTAAGCATTATACGCATTTTTGCTTGCTTGCCTGCCTGCCTGCCTGCCTTCGATGCGTTACGTTACGGTTCGATGTTATGTAAATGGCATTGTCTACAGCAGCAGTAGATTGTGTGTGTATGTGTGTGTGTGTTTGCTGCATTTTATGTACTGGGCCCTGACAGGCTCTGTGCTTTGGGCTCCTCGAAATGGTTTCGATATGTTAATAAGTAATGTTGAGGCAAGTTTTGGCATAACCTCAAATTTGCTGAGCTCATTTGGGATATTACATGCATATAGATTTACTTGTTATATACCTATATATCAGTATATATATATATTGTATTTATACAGTTGTATGTATTGTACACTGTGTATCTATGCAATTGGAATTCGTCAATTTGAATTTTATTATTATGCCTTTGCAGGGTTGATTATAATGCTATTTAATGCTGAGATAGAGGGATCGTATATAACATATATATTTATATATGGTATCATATAAAACTTTGTTTAATCATTAATTGAGACTAATTTCTGCTGTTTTTGTATTACATAATAATAACAAATAGGCCTTTCCTTTTAGATGACAAAGATTAATTGCAATGACTTTTAGTTTATATATATTTTGTAATCAATTTTATTATATAATTTTATTTTTATGATTTTGTACATATAATTTATTGTAAATCGTTTCATTCTAAACATAATTTGTAAACAATTTTTAGACTGAGAAACACATTTGAGCGACTCTGGTGAAAAATGTATAAAAATATGAGAGATATATATTCTGAGCACAGAGCAATAAAAGCTAATGAAACCTAAATGCTTTATTCAATAGATTTTTTAGTTTAAAAGTTCGCACCTTGAAGGTTAGAAAGAATGTTAGTTTACTAGCATCTTAAGTAAATAATTAAGTATATTATTTTGGCTCAAATCAATAAATGAATAATGCTTTTTCTTACTGCGCTACGATTGAGCAGATAGAGTATTAAATGAGGAACTGAAAAAGTTTACAAAGAGAGAATGATCAAAAACGTTGACCTAGTGTTTAATATCTGCTTGGATTTGCTTTGAAGAGGACTAAATAGATGTAAATTAACAATTACAATTTTAATTGAATAGGATTTCTATACAGATGCGTTTTAGATAAATGAAGTATAAATAATAAAAAAAAAAAAAATAATGTAAATATATAAATATATAGATATATGAGGAATTTCATTTGCTAATTTTGTTTGAAGTACAGTGATTAAATCTCAATTGACTCTTCATTTTAGAGAGCAAGGCTTTGTCTAATTCTTTAAGAAGATTCATCACATAGCAACACTTAAAATAAACCTTAATTTCCTCTATTGCCATAGTGCTCCTTTAATTGAACCAATTCATTATAAGTGTTTTACTTACTGATGTTTTATTTGGTTTTGTTCTCGAGCTGCCCAATGCTCGCTCGTACTACACTTGTATCGGAAGGCTTCAATATTGTAGACAAAGGCACCTGAACGAGATGGTTAACAAGTCATAATCATGTTCATGCTTGCACAATGCGTTAAAATTGTGGAAAATTCCAAATGATTTAGTCTTTTTGAAGCGAATATTTAAACATGAATAACTTTTATTATATATCTCCTAATGAAGCGAATATTTATACACAAATGAGTTTTTATTATATTTGTTTGGTATGAGGTGAATATTTTATTTATAGATATATTTTATAGATATTCTATCATATTTAAAACACATAACTGCTGCTTGCTGGAAAGAAAGATTATTTTAAATTATAAACAATTTTAAACTATTTAAGCCCGCTTTAATTGCAAAATAAAAATAGAGTGTTTTTTTAAATGATTGCTCTTTCCGTCACTTAACGTTTTTGCTTTTGTAACTATTTGTAATTTTTTGTAATTTTATTATTATTTATTATTTTACAGTTACAATTTTTTGTACAATTGCATAGACAATAACAAATGTTATTGTTGTCATAGTTTTTTTTTGTCTATTTTTTATTTGCGGGCATTATATATTTAAGAGCATTAAAAAGCTCTATTGATATTTAATGAAGTTATAAAATCGAGAGATTTTCGCAATGCGCTCGACCTCATTGAGCTGTGCAACAATTTCGGTTCGGTTCGATTTCGGTTGACCATATTTAGTTCGGGGGCTTTTTCCAACTGTTTTTAGCAGTTCATGAAATATGTAAACCTTTGTTGCATACCATGCCAGACCACGATCTGCCCGCGTGCTCTATTCTGTTGGCTGGTGGCATATTTTAAAGGCATTTTTCTCTTTTTGTTTTTGCAGAGCTCCATGCAGTAGCGGCTTTTAAATAAATGCTGCGCTTTTTTCGCCAAATCCAACAATGTGAAAAAAGTTTGTTTAATTGTTTTAAAATGTTTGTGGGTATGTGTTACAGGGATGGCTCATCTGTGTGTGCGTGTGTGCGTGGCGTGAACTGTACAATTTTTGCATTTTTATTTGAGCGCATAATTTATGCATGTGTTGCCTTTAGCTGAGCTACCCGACGCAGAGCTCTGTGCGTTGTTAGCCAGCGATTGCGATTGGTATGGAAAACGACAGCAAAAGTCAAATTGTGAGGTTTACCAATGGGGACTTTTGTTATTCGTTTTTTTCGCATTCTCTCCCTTCTCTTCTCGCTGCCTGCCTGCCTCGGAGGGAGCATGGCAAACACCCAATCCCGATTGATAATGGGAATTGAAATGCGAAACAGTGAATTTGTTTTGATTTAACAATCGATATGTGTGCTTATAGGGGGAAAATGTCATATATATATGTATATGCCTGTTCTTTTATTATTTAACATTGTTTTAAAGTGAGGCAGTTATATGCATTTGCTGCGGATTATTGCATTTGTGAAGTGAATTATTTTTTTTATCATTTTTATATGTAGACATTTGGGAATATTAATGATCTATTTTATAGCTTTTATGGAATAATTATTACTAATTATGAACTATTTTTTAATGCAATAATTAAATAGAAAAATGTTTTGTAA